ACTGTGGGTTGATTTTTACTCGAAGTAATAATAGCTGTCTGTGTTGGTCATAGCAGAAGGGACTTAGCAACTTTCCGCTTCTTCAAAATATATTAAAATGGTTGTTTTGGGGAGGATAATGATTGGGATAATAATTAGGAGCCAGGTATTTCAGTATCTGAAATCGTCACAAAGACTGCAAGGTGGAGCTCTCGCCAGACTACAATAAGAAAACACCCCCTGAGGGGGTATGGCTGGTAACTGTCGGAGCTCCGTTAGTATCCCTAGTCTTTCTGGGACCTCTCTGGTTGTGAGAATAACCCCTTAGATTATGCGAATATTTGAAAGACTAACCCCGGAGTTAGTGGCCTGTTTGTTACTAGTGCTCCTCCCTTGTATTTTACCCCGTGGAACTGATCAAATGTTAACTAAATTTTTTCCCGCTGTAATAAAGCAGTGGAATCGGGTGGAATTCTATGTATTGTCCATTTTCTTAAAGTTTTCAGGAAAGCTAGAGTAACCCCAACTATTTTTGCTGAATAAAAGAAGGTTTATTGTCTTAACTTTCTCTGAGAGGAAACCGTTTTTTTTTTTTCCCTTGCCACTGCCTTAGTTCCAACACCAGGGATGGAACTGGTGCCCCCTGTAGTGGAAGCACAGAGAATTAACCAGTGGACTGCTAGGGAAGTCCCTGGTAGAAACTGTTTGGACCATAGACCTCGCCTGCCTTTGAAAAAGTCGTTTTATAAAACTTACTTTTCCATTTGAAATAATAATAATAATTATGTTACTTTGTCCTAAGAGTTCAAAATGGCCAGAAAATAGAATCACGGAGCTAGTTGGAATGGGATGATCTAAGTCTGCTGTGAACATATTAAATATAAAGTAATAATGGGATATCTGAATAGAAATCCACCTCCCCCCCAGCAGTTGAAAACTCAGAATTGTTGTCCAGTTTTAAGGACTGAATTGGAGATACTGATTTGTGAGTCATCAGCCTAATTAGAATTAAATGAAAACAAAATATTATGGAGAGGAGAGAAATAATTCCAGGATTGATCATGAATAATGCCAAGGAAACCCAGAGGAGTATTGGGCAGGGGCTACTGAAACTGAGAAGCCATTTTGGTTTAAGAAGTGATTTGTTTTCTTTTTGATAATTTAGTAAATTTTTGTAGCTGGATTTTGTAGCTGGCAATGCCTTCATGTGGAAGGAAATTCAGAAGGTACAAAAAAAAAAAAGTTTTTGCCTGGCACCGAGATTAATGCTGGGGATGTAAAAATGAATAAGATCCAGCTCTTGCCTTCAAGGTGGAAAAGTATTTAAGCAGATTGGTGTGATAGGTCCTGGGATAGATATGTGTACAGATGCATAGTAGCAGTTCAGACAGCCCTGTAAATTCAAATTGAAGAAGGTTAGGGTGGTTATTCGGTGAAGGCAATGGCAACCCACTCCAGTACTCTTGCCTGGAAAATCCCATGGACGGAGGAGCCTGGTGGGCTGCAGTCCGTGGAGTCGCTAAGAGTGGGACACGACTGAGCGACTTCACTTTCACTTTTCCCTTTCATGCACTGGAGAAGGAAATGGCAACCCACTCCAGTATTCTTGCCTGGAGAATCCCAGGGACGGGGGAGCCTGGTGGGCTGCTGTCTATGGCGTCGCACAGAGTTGGACACGACTGAAGCGACTTAGCAGCAGCAGCAGCAGCAGCAGGGTGGTTATGGACTGGTGGTTCATGGATTCCTAGGGAGTATAACAGGCAAGTTGTGTGTTACACAAGGGACAAGTCAGGAGGCCAATATAATAATCCACTTGAGTCCATGAGGCTCTGAGCAGTACTATAGCAATGGAGAGGAAGTTATATTTTAAACATTTAGAAATAAAATTAGGATTATGTGGTTAGCCATGGGAAATGAGGGAGAGGGAGAAATCAAGGACTAAATTTCTGGCTTGTGTGATTAGGAGGTATACCAGGGGGGAGAGTAAATTCGGGAGAGATGACAGTGAGTTTACTTTTCATTTGTTTTGAAATGTTGATACTATATTGAAGTGAAAATGGCAAGTAATTATTTGGATATAAACACCTCAGAGGGAGTGTGAGGAGTCAGGACTGGAAATTCAGTATTGTGAGTCATCAGCTTATTAATTGCTCAAACCCTGAGTATAGATGAGGTGGATCAATGAGATGGTAGAGAGGAAAAAGAAAAATAGACTGGCTCGTATCTTGAGAAATGTGACAATAGGAGCAGGTAGAATAAGATGAAGGAGACTGAAAGAGTCGAAACAGAAGAGGGGAGTATCCTGGAGATGGTTGCAATATCTTAGAATTTGCCGGTGTAGAAAAAGAATATATACGACAGAATTAAATGTGGTTTCAGGATCAAGAAATTAGTTTTTAGGGTTAGGAAAGAATGGAACATGACACCAGACTCAAAGAAAGGAAGAAGTTTATTTTATTTATTTATTTATTATTTTTTTTTTCTTCTTTTTTAAGGAAGAAGTTTAGACATAGTCAGTTCAGTTGTTCAGTCGTGTGCGACTCTTTGCGATCCCATGGACCGCAGCACACCAGGTTTCCCTGTCCATCACCAACTTCTGGAGCTTGCTCAAACTCAAGTCCATCGAGTCGGTGATGCCATCCAACCATCTCTTCCTCTGTCGTCCCCTTCTCAGGAGCTGGATAATGCTCCGAAGGAGCTTGGGGCAGGGGTTAGGGAGAAGGAGTTTGGCAAGAAGAGGGAAGCTAATGTCCCAGAGGTGTGGGATTAAGAGGATAAATCAGAATAGAGATTGATCTTGAATGAGAGAAGTCATGGCTATTGAGATTGGAAGGCAGCATTTATATAGGTAAGTTGATTTGCTCCAAATATGATGGATTTCACATCTTAATTTTCTTAATTGTGAAATTAAGTCATCTGCTGAGAGAGGTAGGAGTAGAAAAGTTGTTAAGAATTGGAATCATCAAGGACAGAGTAGCTTATCAAGGATAAATAAAATAATTTCAGAGATATGAAGATCCATCTAAATTTGGTGACTATGACTTTGCAGTTCTCCAGTCTATAGAGCTGTGAGATTTCCATCAATGGTGTTCAGCAGTCCAGGTTGAATGTAGAGAATAGTTTCTGATTTGTGAAATGGGTTGAAGAAGTGTTCAAGATGCAAATTAGTGATGGTGCTCATGAGACAGTAATTTAATGTTGAGAAGAAAAGGAATCCTTGAAAATGACCATCATGGTCACTAATGGCTTCTTAGTGGGGATTTCATTGGACATTTCAGTGTTCATCTTACTTGAATTCCCAGAAGAAAATGTCATGGCTGACCATTCTTGCCTTCTCTTGGCATCTCTGACACACACTCCTGGCTTTTCTGTTAGCTTTCTTAGTCTTTGTTTTCAGTCTCTTATACACGCTTTCCCTCTTCTGTGCAGCCTGTATATATTTACATTCCTCAGGCCAGAGTCTTAGGTAGTCTTTTTCTCCATATTCTCTCTCTAGTTCAGAATCTTTGAAACTCTTTTGAACATTATGCATAATAGGACATATATCTTACATTATAGACAGTATACACATATGTGTAAATTTACACAAATATAACTGAAACAAAAATTTAATGAAACAGTACCCTTCCTATGTGCAGTGAAACCTCTTGTATCTTCTGTTTTATTTCATATTTAACTCAAATTGGTCATAACCCTCTAAGTTGTTTTTATAAGCCACTAATTATGACCATAATTTTAAAATGCTATTTTAAATAGTCAAAATTTTGAATGATATTTTATTCTGCTGAGTACAGGAGGGGGCTGATAAACTAGGAGAGAATGAATAAAGGGAATAGTTTAAGGGGAGGTGTTCAGTTCAGTCGCTCAGTCGTGTCCGACTCTTTGTGACCCCGTGAACTGCAGCACGCCAGGTGTCCCTGCCCATTACCAACTGTCGGAGCCTACCCAAATCCATGTCCATTGAGTCGGTGATGCCATCCAACCATCTCATCTTCTGTCATCCCCTTCTCCTGCCCTCAATCCTTTCCAGCATCAAAGTCTTTTGTGAGAATAAAAGTGAGAAAAAGGTAGGAGAGGAAATTAAGGCCAGAGAATAAAATATCTCTTTAAGATATTTGAGATGAAGCAATTCCAGATGATGATAAGCTCCAGCTCTGGCCATGGCCATGAATTAGAATTGAAATGATTGCTGGGATTTGAGTCATGGAACTGTGAAGCTAGAATGTTACATGTTGAATCCAGTATCTATATGGAAATCATCTAGGTTGTTGATGGTACTAGAATGGAGAGACTGAACAAGATACACAAGACTTTAGTAAATATGGGGGAGAGATTAGGTGGCTCCTATATAAAAGCAACCAGAAAAGATCCAAGGCAATGTAGTTGCATTATTTGGTCCTCAACGGAAGAGAATCCTGTTGTTCATTACTTTTTTTAAACTTTGAAGAATAACGTTTGCCAATTACATTGTGGAGCAAGGAGAGTGCCATGTATTCCTTCTTTGCCTTGGACAAGAAGCTAAGACAGCCTTCACTACCAAAAGTATTTTCAGAAGACAGGATCCTGTTAAGTTGACGAGTACAAGGAAGTATTTATAACAGGGTTGAGAATATAAGGGAATTTACTATAGACCAGAAAGCACAGATAAAAATTGTCAGAGAAGAAAGATACTGGTTTTGCAAGGAGAGAGAAAACTTTAGTTAACTAGAGTATGAATGAGAGCCCAGGAGAGAAAGGTAAGTAGAGGGACTTGCATTTTGATAAGATAGTAGGGAAATGAGGAGGGCATGTTATAATAAATGATTCCATGGTTCTGAATGGAACAGTTATGTCAAATCTGAACAAAATTAAAGCAGGCTTAACCTTGTACATAGTGGTACCTACAATATTAATTTTTAAGAAAAGTCACAGTGGATTAAATGTTTGAAAGGGTATGTGGTTCACTCCCGTCTTGCTACAGGAGGTATCAAAGGAGAATTAAATTATTCTTGTTTCCAAGCAGTGGTTAAACTGAGCAAATAATGGCCAGTAATCACAAACCTTCAGCAGTTCGCCCTGTTTCTCGAGGTGGGATTGGATTGACAGGAAGGCCTCCTTCTGGAATACGACCCCCGTCAGGAAATATTCGAGTGGCAACTGGTGTAAGTTTAAAACAAATTGTTGAACTATTATATGTATATCCTGGTAGAATTTGAAAAGCCTGTCTATAATAAATAGAGATTCTTCTTTGTTTTTCTTTATGCTATAAGCATACTATTATATGTGTGTGTTTGTTTGTTTTTTTAAACATCTAGAAGTATAAAGAGCTTCGCTGGTAGCTCAATTGGTAAAGAATCTGCCTGCAATGCAGAAGACCCTGGTTCGATTACTGGGTTGGGAAGATCCACTAGAGAAGGGATAGGCTACCCACTCCAGTATTCTTGGGATTCCCTGGTGGATCATCTGGTAAAGAATCCACCTGCAATATGGGAGACCTTTGTTCAACCCCTGGGTTGGGAAGATGTCCTGGAGAAGGGAAAGACTACCCATTCCAGTATTCTGGCCTGGAGAATTCCATAGACTGTATAGTCCATGGGGTTGTAAAGAATTGGACACGACTATATGTGTGAGAATGTTTTAAAGACTAATGTTAAGAGACAATGCGTACTCATACTAATATTGAAATTTATTTTAAAGCTACAACAATTTAGGGGCATAGCGTATTGGTGCCAAAACCGAGTGAAATGGAATAGACCAGAAATGGAATTAGGCAAGAAGAATTTAATTAGTGATGAAGGTTGCATTTCAAATTAGTAGGAAAGCATGAAGTATTCAGTACTGCTGAATAATTGGTAAACCATTTGTTTTTATAAACCAACTCCCACCCTCACACAGAGTCCTAGATATTTTCAAAATTTTATATTAAAAAATGAAATCATAAATGTATTAGCGGAAAATGTAGGCAAGTATATTGTATAAACTCACCATCTCCCAAAATTTGCCCAGGTTCATGTCCATTGATTGGTGATGCCATCCAGCCACCTCATCTTCTGATGTTCTCTTCTCCCTCTGCCCTCACTCTTACCCAGCATCAGACACTTTTCAATTAGTTGGTTTTTCACATCAGATGACCCAAATATTGGAGCTTCAGCTTCACCATTAGTCCTGTTGTTAAATAAGGACAAATACGTGGACATTTTGCTCCTTTACAGTTTGGAAGTGGTATAAATATTGTCTAACACATAGAATTTTACATTTTAAAGAAAAATATTACTTAATTATCATTAATTTTAGATATTAATTTTATGTACTATTTCAAACATTTAAAAATGTAAGGAAAAGTTTACATATTATATAGAATCTTAGTTTTATTTTTAATATTCTTTGTATAGTGTTAATATTAGAGGCACAGTATTTCTCTATTGTATTGAAACTGAATCTTGTCATTTAGATGCCACCTGGAACAGCAAGACCAGGCTCTCGTGGTGGTCCCGTAGGGACAGGAGGAGTTCTGTCTTCTCAAATCAGAGTTGCTGATCGTCCTGTAACACAACAAGGTTTGAGTGGAATGAAAACTGGTATGAAAGGTATCTATTTTAAGAAGATGAGCATATTTTATATAAGAAGTATTACAGTATATTAGTGCTGCGTCACTTCAGTCATGTCTGACTCTGCAACCATATGGACTGTAGCCCGCCAGGTTCTTCTGTCCATGGGATTTTCCAGGCAAGAATACTGGAGTGGCTTGCCCTTCCCTTCTTCAGGGGATCTTCTTGACCTGAGATGTTGGAGATGGAACCCTCCTCATCTCTCACATTGCGTGTTGGCAGGCAGGTTCTTTACCACTAGCGCCACCTGGTAGCTATTATAGTGTATTGCTAAATCAGAATTATACAGTGAAAGGCTATTTTTCTCAGTTCTTACTCCTTGATTCAAAAATTTTAAGGGTTAAATAAGAGAATGAATATGAGAATTCATTGTGAACTATGGAGTTATATACATGTATGAGCTATTTTAATCATTTTTCTGGTGAACTTTGCTATAAATTTTTAAAATTGAAGTATAGTTGATTTACATATACATGTATATTTCTTTTCAAATTCTTTTCCCTTTTGGTTATTATAAAATATTGAGTATAGTTTTCTATGCTATAGAGCAAGTAGGTCCTTGTTGGTGAACTTTGCTATAATTTCTTTGAAGAAATTTGAAGGAAAACTCAGAAATGAAAATTAGATTTCTAGTACTATATAGAAATATTCTGAAATAGTTTTTTTTGGTTTCCATATCAAAATGACAATGGTAGGTATTTGTATATTTATGAGAAGTGAGACCAGAAGTGTTACTTTTGGTAATAATTATTATTCCATTATAATGCTTAAGTAAGAAAGTGAGGCTAACATACAGATTTATACTACATCTCTCCTTATCTCTCTATGTGTTTAGAAATGCATAATAATAATAACACTATATGTTTTGATTCAAAAATTTGGTCTATTATATATATATATAAATCAAAACATAGGGAACTGTTTCATATTGAGTTTTTTAATTTTATGTATATGTGCAAATGACTTATCAGGGATAAACATACTAGTACGAAATTAGTTATAAGGTGATATACCGACTTCTATAATATAATATATCCTACCTTTCAGCAAACTTAATTTTCTTACTTATGATACAACTTAGTTCACTAAATATTAAAAACCAGTTGGTTATTGGACTTCTGTGGTGGTTCAGTAGTTAAGACTCTGCACTTCTGATGCAGGGGCCACAGATTTGATCCCTGGTTGAATAAGATCCCATGTGCCATGCAGGGTGGCCAAAGGATGAAAAAAAATCAGTTGTTTAGAAATACTTGCTTAATAATTAATTATCAGTGCTGTAGAGGAAAATGACTCAAAATTTTGTAGTTGTTTAGTCTTTAAAAGTATATTCACAGAATCATTTATGTGTTTAATATTTCTTATTTAAAAACCTTAAGGGCAGAAACCTTAAGGGTGCAATTCTAAGAGAACTCATCAAATTTTATTACTGTATTAATTTCTCCTTTAAAACAATCAGTATTATTAACTATTTAATAATTAAATATTATTTAATTATTTAAGATTAAATAAGATTAGATAATAACCAGTATTATTTAAATAATAACCAGTATTATTTAATATTTAATACTTAAATATTAAGTATTATTAAATAATTTAAGTATTATTTAATACTACTTAAATAGCATTTAGGTATTTAAGAAAATAGTCATTTTCTACAAATATAGTTCAAAGCCTTACGTGAAAAGTTCTGTTACCCGCATGTACCACTATCTGCTGTGATTTTGCTGTTACCTGTTCCAGTGCCTCATTTCCCATTCTAGTGAGACATTCTCTTCCTCTTCTCAGCATGGATTTCAGTCAATACTTCAGCCTTTTCTCTCATGCCATGCAGGGCACTTCACCTCTCTCAAGGTTTGGGATATTTAACCTATGGGCTTTTTTAGTCCTACTGAAATGTAAGATTGTATTCCTGAAAAGTCTCTGAAAAATTATATAAAATCATAATCTCTGGCCTACACTGAGAAATTTATAGTCAAAACCTACACTGTCCATTGTGATAGCCAATAGCTATTTGTATTTGTAATATAAATTATTTGTATTTTTACAAATACAAATATTTGTGATTATTTAAATTAATTAAAATTAAAGTATTTTACCAGTTCAATTCAGTCGCTCAGTCATGTCCAACTCTTTGTGACGCCATAACCACAGCCTCCCTGTCCATCACTGGCTCCTGGAGTCCACCCAAACCCATGTCCATTGTGTCGTGGATGCCATCCAACCATCTCATCCTCTGTCATCCGCTTTTCCTCCTGCCCTCAATCTTTCTCAGCATCAGGGTCTTTTCAAATGAGTCAGCTCTCCGCATCAGGTGGCCAAAGTATTGGAGTTTCAGCTTCAACATCAGTCTCTCGAATGAACACCCAGGACTGATCTCCTTTAGGATGGACTGGTTGGATCCAGTCCAAGGGACTCTCAAGAGTCTTCTCCAACACCACAGTTCAAAAGCATCAGTTCTTCTGCACTCAGCTTTCTTTGTAGTCCAACTCTCACATCCATACATGACTACTTAAAAAACCATAGCCTTGACTAGACAGACCTCTGTTGGCAAAGTAATGTCTCTGCTTTTTAACATGCTGTCTAGTTTGGTCATAACTTCCCTTCCAAGGAGCAAGCGTCTTTTAATTTCATGGCTGCAATCACCATCTGCAGTGATTTTGGAGCCCAGAAAAATAAGGTCAGCCACTGTTTCCACTGTTTTCCCCATCTATTTGCCATGAAGTGATAGGACCAGATGCCATGATTTTAGTTTTCTGAATGTTGAGCCTTAAGCCAACTTTTTCACTCTCTTCTTTCACTTTCATCAAGAGGCTCTTTAGTTCTTCTTCACTTTCTGCCATAAGGGTGGTGTCATCTGCATATCTGAGGTTATTGATATTTCTCCCGGCAATCTTGATTCCAGCTTGTGCTTCCTCCAGCCCAGCGTTTCTCATGATGTACCCTGCATATAAGTTAAATAAACAGGGTGACAATATACGGCCTTGACATACTCCTTTTCCTATTTAGAACCAGTCTGTTGGTCCATGTCCAGTTCTAACTGTTGCTTCCTGACCTGTATACAGGTTTCTCAAGAGGCAGGTCAGGTGGTCTGGTATTCCCATCTCTTTCAGAATTTTCCACAGTTTATTGTGATCCACACAGTCAAAGGCTTTGGCATAGTCAATAAAGCAGAAATAGATGTTTTTCTGGAACTCTCTTGCTTTTTTGATGATCCAGTGGATGTTGGCAATTTGATCTCTGATTCCTCTGCCTTTTCTAAAACCAGCTTGAACATCTGGAAGTTCATGGTTCACATGTTGCTGAAGCCTGGCTTGGAGAATTTTGAGCATTACTCTACTAGTGTATGAGATAAGTGCAATTGTGTGGTAGTTTGAGCATTCTTTGGCATTGCCTTTCTTTGGGATTGGAATGGAAACTGATCTTTTCCAGTCCTGTGGCCACTGCTGAGTTTTCCAAATGAGCTGGCATATTGAGTGCAGAACTTTCACAGCATCATCTTTTAGGATTTGAAATAGCTCAACTGGAATTCCATCACCTCCACTAGCTTTGTTCTTAGTGATGCTTCCTAAGGCCCACCTGACTTCACATTCCAGGATGTCCGGCTCTAGGTGAGTGTGAGTGATCACACGATTGTGATTATCTGGGTCAGGAAGATCTTTTTTGTATAGTTCTTCTGTGTACTCTTGCCACCTCTTCCTAATATCCTCTGCTTCTGTTAGGTTCATACCATTTCTGTCCTTTATTGAGCCCATCTTTGCATGAAATGTTTCCTTGGTATCTCTAATTTTCTTGAAGAGATCTCTGGTCTTTCCCATTCTATTGTTTTCCTCTATTTCTTTGCATTGATCGTTGAGGAGGGCTTTCTTATCTCTCCTTGCTATTCTTTGGAACTCTGCATTCAGATGGGTATATCTTTCTTTTTCTCCTTTGCTTTTCGCTTCTTTTCTTTTCACATACCACCAGCCATGTTTCAAGTGGTCAGTATTCCCATGTAGCTACTTTATTGGACAGTGCTGCTATAGAATATTTCCATTGTTGCAGAACGTTCTCTTGGTTAGTCCTGTTCTAGACCCCGTTAGGCCCCATTCAGTCACCTAACCAGTAGAGTCCAGTGTTTTTGTTGGTTTTTTGAATCCACTCTCTTAACAGCCCAACCTCTAGTCCCATCTTTGTGGTCTTAATTCAGGCTTCCATTATGTCATGATGCTAAGATATTAGTTCTCTTTTCTATTTCATTGCTTCTTTCAGATTTTTAGACTTACTGGGAGGGCTGTTAGAGAATTGTTGAGTGTAATTCTGGTTGTGCTTTGGATTTGCTAATGTGGTGGCATTTTCAAACTGAACACTAATACCTAAAAATTTTTTTTAGGTCCCCAGAGGCAAATTTTAGACAAATCTTACTATCTTGGACTTCTTCGGTATGTTATAGACTTTTTTTTTTCTATGAATGATCATGAAGTTTTAATTATAGTACTTACTGAGATAATTAGGTATCTGTTAATTGTTAAGATTATTTTGTATTCTGACATAATTTATGGTTAATCTGGCTCTAAATAGATGTCATCACAAATGGTGGTGGTATAGTTAGGCTGAGATTTTAAATTTTATGTATTAGAATGTATGTGAGCTATATATTTCCAGTTCACTATTTTTCATCTAATGAGAAGAATATTTTATGCTTCTTTCACTAATTATTCTGAAACATATTCTTCATAGATATGTGTATGAATGATAAAATGTATATGCGTGCCTGCTAAATTGTTTTAGTCGTGTCTGACTCTGCAATCCCTTGGACTGTATGTAGCCCACCAGGCTCCTCTGTCCATGGGATTCTCCTGGCAAGAATACTGGAGTGCGTTGCCATTTCCTTATCCATAAAATATATATACTTATTTATAATAATTACTACAGAGTTTTACATAAGTATATATTTAGTCAGTTGCTATACATGTGGCCTAATTTTATTTAATTCATAAGTTTGTTATATATCTCTTAAGTATGCAGCTCTAAATTAAGAACTCTTTTCTCTTTCTAGACCTACTTTTTTCTCTGCCTATCTGGCCTATCTCTATTTTTCCATTTTACTTTATTTTCTGGTTGGTTCATCCTCTGTGTCTTCTTTCTTTCTTCAGTTCAGTTCAGTCACTCAGTCGTGTCAGACTCTTTGTGACCCCATGAATCGCAGCACACCAGGCTTCCCTGTCCATCACCAGCTCCCGGAGTTTACTCAAACTCATGTCCATCGAGTCAGCGATGCCATCCAACCATCTCATCCTCTGTCGTCCCCTTCTCCTCCTGCCCCCAGTCCCTCCCAGCATCAGAGTCTTTTCCAATTACTTGCATTCTATTTAATGCATCCTTCTATCGTATCCTGAAATCTCTGTTTTCTTTCTTTTAGTCCTTCTTAATTCTTTTCCTGTTCAGTTACTTGAATCCTTTTGATCCTCAAACTCTTAGAAGTTAGTAAGAGAAGGGAAGGTTTTCTCCCATCCGTCCTCAAAGTTGACATCAGTAAGAATGAGAGTGAGGCCATCAGTGTTGATATATAGTCACCTTTTAATCAAAAGAAGGTAAGGTGATAGAGCTATTTCTCACCATCACATTGCCTCTCTTCTCCAAGTTTTGTGCTTCTTTACTAAAAATTACAATTATCTATTTATGTTAATTGAATGAAGAACAGTGGTTCTCAACTGGCATTGATTTTGCCCCCTTAAGGAATATTTGGCAATTTTTAGACTCATTTTTTGTTGTCATAACTGGATTTGGGTGATGTGCCATTGGCATCCATACCAGAGAGATGGTTAAGCATCTTACAGTGCATAGAAAGTATTGTTTTAAGTATTATTCAAAGACCTAAAATGTCCATAGTGCTGCTCTTGAAAAATCCTATCCTAGAGGGTAGCAAGAACTGTGAGAGTGACAGTTAGGTGTCTGCTTCTGTCTATAGATTGTACCAGTTTGCCCAGGTTTCCATTCTAATACTGTTTCATCTTTTTTAATGAATAAAGAACTTTTATCAATTTCTCAGTTGGAGTATATCACCTTAATCAAATAAGCTGCTTAAATTGTTTTTCTTTTTTTAGTGAAATTTCACAAAACCATTTATATTGTTGTTACACATTTATGAAAAGTTTATTTTGTTTAACTAGACTTTTCTGGATTGGAAGTATTACTAATTTCTTTATTTCTTTCCATTAGAAGTAAAATAAGTGAACTTACAACAGAAATCAATAAACTTCAGAAAGAAATAGAAATGTACAATCAAGAGAATTCAGTATATTTGTCATATGAAAAGAGGTGAGTAATTTTGCAGTTAAAGTATGCAAGGTATATTTTTATTATGAATAACATTTGATGTAATATGTTTCAGAATTTTAGTACTACATTTGTAGTTAAACATAATATTCATAATGTTCATCTGCCTATTTATTTATGAATGTATTTTATATTTACAGAGCTGAGACTCTAGCTGTTGAAATAAAAGAGTTTCAAGGACAACTAGCAGACTACAACATGGTATTTGGTCTTTTCTGAGAGTATTTCTTTTGAATATTTTCATTGCTTTTTACCACTTTAGAAAATGCTATAACATTTTAATGCTAAATACCAAATAATGCATGAATACATACATAGTGAAAAAGATTGAAACCATAGCAAGTGTAGAGATTAAAGTATATATATGCTTTCTTCCTACTTTGCCTCCTGAGAAATATTTTGGCTTTACAGATTAATAGGTGTTCTTCCAGCCTTTAAAAGAAAAACAGTTAAAAATACAGAACATGCATACTTTTTTCCCTAACAATTTAAAAATAATATTTATTAGAGTAGATAAAATATATTGAGTATTAGCAATGTCACTGCTTTAAAAATACTTTTATCTTTCTACAGAGTGTTGTCATCATGATGTTTTAAAAATTTAGTTACTTAGTACCAAGCTTGCCTTTATCCTTCCATTTCATTCAAAATGCAGTGTTTGTCTTCTGTCACAATAGGGCATCTAGTATAATCACAGTTTTGCTTCCAAATGTGGACTTCCAGAAGAAGCTTCCTAGTGTGGATTTCCAGAAGAAATGATCTTGTTTGCAGTGTTGATTACTGGCTCAATATTTGGAGTAATCTTGGCCCCATGAAAGTTTCTAATGTTTCAGAATTTTCTTTCTTCCTACTCTGTGGGTGCTTTAGGTAGCAGTGGTCTCTGAACTTACTGAAAACTTGATTCTCACTTCTCCAACTGAAAAATGGTGATACACAAAGTAAGAAATGTGCCACCATAATGGTTAGGTACATTCTAATATACCTACTTGATATTGTTATATTGTACTCATAAACAGAATTTCTGATTATATTAATAGGATATTTTCACACTGTAATCTAGTAAATGATCTTCTCAATATGAGAAAAATAATTTTTTATAAAATATAAAAAGACAGATGAAAGGGATTTTTAGTTATATGAGAATACATTATGCAAGTTACTTGATATAAAAATATTAATAATGTGTAAAATATGCTGTTTGTAGGTTTTTCTTTAATACAGAGAAAGCACTTAGTTAGCCAGTTATCTAACAGAGTAACTTTTCAGTAAATATTAGATCTTATTAGCATTATTATACAAAAAGCTAAGATCATGGCATCTGGTCCCATCACTTCATGGCAAATAGATGGAGGAACAATAGAAATAGTGATACACTTTATTTTTGGGGGCTCCAAAATCACTGCAGATGGTGAGTGCATCCATGAAATTAAAAGACACTTGGTCCTTGGAAGAAAAGTTATGACCAACCTAGACAGTGTATTAAAAAGCAGAGACATAACCTTGCCGACAAAGGTCCTTGTAGTCAAAGCTGTGGTTTTTCCAGTAGTCATTAATGGATGTGAGAGTTGGAGCATAAAGAAGGTGGAGCACTGAAGAACTGATGCTTTTGAACTGTGGTACTGGAGAAGACTCTTGAGAGTCACTTGGATAGCAGGAAGATGAAACCAGTCAATTCTAAAGGAAATGAACTCTGAATATTCATTGGAAGGACTGATACTAAAGCTGAAGCTCCAACACTTGGGCCACCAGATGCGAAGACTGACTCATTGGAAAAGACCCTAATGCTGGGAAAGATTGAAAGCAGGAGGAGAAGGGGATGACAGGATGAGATGGTTGCTTGGCATCACCGACTCAGTGTACATCAGTTGGAGCAAACTGTGGGAGATGGTAAATGCCAGGAGATCTTGGCATTCTGCAGTCCATGGGGTCGCAGAGAGTCAGACACAACTTAGCAACTGAACAATAACAATAACAAAAGCACTTATTATCCATATCACAATTGAAAATGTTATATATAGTAATATATATTACATTAGGAAAGCTTAGTCTTTTAGAGTCAATTACATCCAGATAGTTTGCTTTTAGTAGCCTTGTTCAAATTCTGCTTTGACAACTTGCTAAATTTTTGTATCTGCAAAATGTGGATAATAATATCTACTTCATAGTGTACTTGTGATAATTAAGTGAAACAATGCATATAATAGACTCAGAACAAGGTTTGGCACAAGGTAAATCGATAAATATGTTTGCTGTTGCTGTCACTGCCTAACTTTTTTTTTTTTTCATTTATTTTTATTAGTTGGAGGCTAATTACTTTACAGTATTGTAGTGGTTTTTGTCATACATTGACATGAATCAGCCATGGAGTTACATGTATTCCCCATCCCGATACCCCTCCCACCTCCCTCTCTACCCGATCCCTCTGGGTCTTCCCAGTGCACTAGGCCCGAGCACTTGTCTCATGCATCCTACATGGGCTGGTGATCTGTTTCACCCTAGATAATATACATGTTTCGATGCTGTTCTCTCGAAACATCCCACCCTCGCCTTCTCCCACAGAGTCCCAAAGTCTGTTCTGTACATCTGTGTCTCTTTTTCTGTTTTGCATATAGGGTTATCATTACCATCTTTCTAAATTCCATATATATGTGTTAGTATACTGTATTGGTCTTTATCTTTCTGGCTTACTTCACTCTTTATAATGGGCTCCAGTTTCATCCATCTTATTAGAACTGATTCAAATGAACTCTTTTTAATGGCTGAGTAATATTCCATGGTGTATATGTACCACAGCTTCCTTATCCATTCATCTGCTGATGAACATCTAGGTTGCTTCCATGTCCTTTGCCTGACTTTTTGAAGTACGCTTCTGTTTGAAGTGTTCTGTTTGTGCCGTGCCCTGTTGATTTTTTTTCAATTTAATTTTTTTATAATTTTTAAAAGATTAAATCATTTTACATTTTCAGTGGTGTAAATTTGTAAATCCATTAACATTTCTTCCCCTTGGGGAAAAGAAGGAGAAAGATCTTCCCCCAGATTTTGTCTTCTCAACATCCTTCTTTATAAGCTTAGACATCTTTTCAGAGAAGGCAAAACTTTTGAGGTATTTGCAGAAAGAATAGTTCTTTACTGCTTACTTTTCCTTCCAAAAAATGTAGTTTGTTGATTGCCCTAATGCATAGAATGTACTTATTTGAGTAGCTCAATATTTGTTTTGTCTTGGAAGTAGTAATACTTAAATAACTATTTATTTGTAAGATTGAATACCTATATTATGGATTATAGAAAGAATTTATGAAGACTAATAGAATTTTTTTTTGTACTTTTGATTTTAGTTGGCAGATAAACTTAATACCAATACTGAAATGGAAGAAGTAATGAATGATTACAACATGGTAAGAAAGTTTATAAGCAGTTGATCTACATAGCCTCTAAAATAAAGCATTTATATCTGGAAGCAACTTGATAAAACCTTATGTACCATGAAGATAGGTATTACTCTGATCCTAATTACTGCTGTTACATTTGAGTTCCCTTAGTTGCTCGTTTACAATTTCTTCCTGTTGGTTGATTCTCTCAAGTGGATGATTTAGTGTCTTTCTGCAAGGCTGTGTTTGAACTGGTCTCTCATTCAGTATTAGTTAGGGAGTCCCATCCATATATCCTTGTATGTAAATTAGTTTGCAGTACTTCTGGTTTAATATTTGTGCACATGGAGCTGAGTACTCAGTGAAGAGTTGTATTAGAAAAGGAGAAAATGAATAGTTACCATATGATGCCAGACATAACAGTACTTTTGATTAGTAAATGAGAAATTGTATTCAATGTTCTTAATGAGTATTTGGTAGAAAATAATAAAATGATAATAGCTAGCTTAATTGATTATAAATATTTGGAAGAAAATAAAATTTATACAGTTTATCATTTATTTATACAAAGAATATAAAAGCATAGGATTTATACAATGACTCTTCTAAATTTTGGGGCTTCCCTGGCAGCTCAGCTGGTAAAGAACCCGCCAGCGATGTGGGAGACCTGGGTTCAATCCCTGGGTTGGGAAGATCCCCTGGAGGAGGGCATGCAATCCACTCTAGTATTCTTCCCTGGCGAGTCCCCATGGACAGTGTAGCCTGGTGGGCCACAGTCCATGGGATCACAGAGTTGGACACGACTGAGTAAATAAGCACAAAAGCAATAATAATGCAGTGAAGTTCTTAACTTGATTATTTTTTTCATTTATTTTTATTAGTTGGAGGCTAATTACTTTACAGTATTGTAGTGGTTTTTGCCATACATTGACATGAATCAGGCATGGATTTACATGTGTTCCCCATCCCGATCCCCCCTCCCACCTCCCTCCCCATCCCATTCCTCTGGGTCTTCCCAGTGCATCAGCCCTGAGCACTTGTCTCATGCATCCAACCTGGGCTGGAGATCTGTTTCACCCTTGATAGTATACTTGTTTCAATGCTGTTCTCTCAGAACATCCCACCCTCGCCTTCTCCCACAGAGTCCCAAAGTCTGTTCTGTACATCTGTGTCTCTTTTTCTGTTGTGCATATAGGGTTATCGTTACCATCTTTTAAAATTCCATACATATGCGTTAGTATACTGTATTGGTCTTTACCTTTCTGGCTTACTTCACTCTGTATAATGGGCTCCAGTTTCATCTATCTCATTAGAACTGATTCAAATGAATTCTTTTTAATGGCTGAGTAATTTTCCATTGTGTATATGTACCATAGCTTCCTTATCCATTTGTCTGCTGATGGGCCTCTAGGTTGCTTCCATGTCCTGGCAATTGTAAACAGTGCTGCGATGAATATTGGGGTGCATGTGTCTCTTTCAGATCTGGTTTCCTCGGTGTGTATGCCCAAGAGTGGGATTGCTGGGTCATATAACTTCTTAACTTTAAAACACAGGAGAATTCTCAATTTAAAATCTGTATTTTTAATGCCAAATATAAAAAGTGAAAACTTAATGCTTTTTTAGTTATGAGAGATAGGTCCAAAGTCTAGACTGACTATGTGCAGGTTGAGTCAAATAGGAGTACTCAGGTAAAATTCTGAATGATTTAAGAATAAAACTTGTGTTGGGTCTAGATTTGACATATTACTAATCTCTATTGAACACTTAATGAAATCTTGAAATTCTGTTTACATAAGTAAAGTTTACAGTAGATTACTTGACAGTCAGTAAACAATGAATATTTTTGGTGTGAGATTATAATGCCTGTGAAAAAGAGTGTTTCTTTGTGTTTGGTATTGGTAGCGGTTTGTTAAGTAATGCATATGCATTTTTTAAAACTTTGCCTGTGGCATTAGGATTATTTTTATAATCTCTAATTGATTCATAATCAGAATGACCTTTAAAGAGATAGTTTGGCTTAATGGTAATTTTTTATCACTAACGTTCAGTTAACTCTTTTTTCAGCTTAAAGCTCAAAATGATCGAGAAACACAAAGTATGGATATTATATTTACCGAAAGACAAGCGTGAGTATAATCCATTTAGAAATCAAACAGATTTATAAGTGACCTGTATAAGTAGTTTAACTTCTGAACCATTTATTTCTTTATAGTTTTCTTCATTGTTTTTCCCTGTTGCATTTTTTAATTTTAAAAAGTTGAATATTTGCAGTACAGACTGCATTGTTAATGTATCTGTTGTCTTCATTTAGATAAAATTTCTACCTCTCTGAGTTTTAAATCTAAGGTGGATAAGAACATCTCTACCATTTGCAATTTTAACTTGAACTTCTTAACTAATTCAAATTATGAGATTTAAGCCCCAATCTAATGAAATGCACTTTATTATTCCATGGGCTATTTATATTATTTTATTACTCACTAATTGATAATTGTTATGTTAGTAATCTAATTTATAAATGTAGATTGTATGTGCATCTTTATATATATAACCTAGTCAAAGACCAAATGCCAAGTAACTTTGGTTTTTAAATCTTTTTTTTCAATAATTGTATTTATTTTGGGCTGTGCTGAGTCTTTGTTGCTGTGTGAACTTTTGTCCAGTTGCACAAATGGGGGCTGCTCTCTAGCTGTGCTTCTCATGTGACGGCCTCTCTTATCGGGGAACACAGGCTCTATGGCATGCAGGCTTCAGGAGTCGTGGCTCTTGGGCTCTAGAGCACAGGGTCAGTAGTTGTGGTGCATGGGCTTATTTGCTCTGTGGTATGTGAGATCTTCGAAAATCAGGGACTGAACCCAGGTCTCCTGCATTGGCAGGCAGATTCTTTACTACTGAGCCACCCAGGAACCTCCCAAGTAACTTTGACTTTGATGATAAGGTAAATGTGGCAGTGATAGTAATGCCTACAAAGATAAGTGGAAGTAATATAGTGACCTTAGTCCATTTGGGCCACTGTAACAAAATATCATAGACTTGGTAACTTATAAACAACAGGAATGTATTGCTCAGGGTTCTGAAGGCTGGGATGTCCAAGATCAAGGCAGCAGTATAGTCCTGTTCTGGTGAAGGCCCTCTTACTGGTTCATACCTTCTTGTGATATCATCACATGATAGACAGAGCTGGGAAGCTCTTTGGGATCTCTTAAAAGGGGTACTTACTAATCCCATTCATGAGGACTCTACCCTCATGACCTAATCACCTCCCAGTCTTTACACCATTACCTTTGGTGGTTAGGATTTCAACATATGAATCTTGGAGGGACACAAATATTCAGACATTATCAGTAGTTAACATAATTATTCTTTATTGACTTTTTGACCTTAATTATTGTCTAAAGCAGCGCAAACAGAAGATGAACTATTTTGTACAAACACTGTACACATTTTGTTCCATAAATTTATCAATATTAATTTCCTTGAAAGCAAGGATAATAATTAACCCAAATTACCAAAATTCTATAACATCAAAAATACTGTCATATTACCTCAACATGTACAGTAAATACTTGATGAAAAATAGGATGTTAAAATATAAAGATGAATTATTTGAAAGGTAAATAATTTTTCAAAGGTAAATTTCTTTTCATTAAACACAAAGAAATCTCTTTCCCCTGTCTATCATTTGATGCTCCTATAAAGTGCTATCTTAAATTACAAATATACTGAAAGTCTCTTCCCTTTTACAAAGAAAATCCCATATTCATGGTAACCAGACACATACTTGAAAACTTCCTTTCTGTTGCTCTGGTTTTAGACTAGCTAACAAATATTCATCATTTACTACATATAAAATACTTTCTTAGGTGTCTAAAAAATAAGATATAATAAACTATAACCCATTGAGAACCTTATATAGTTTAGAACATTTCAGTTCACCTCAGTCGCTCAGTCATGTCCGACTCTTTGCGATCCCATGGACTGCAGCACACCAGGCCTCCCTGTCCATCACCAACTCCTGGAGCTTGCTCAAACTCATGTCCATCGAGTCGGTGATGCCATCCAACCATCTCATACTCTGTCATCTCCTTCCCCTCCTGCCTTCAATCTTTCCCAGCATCAGGGTCTTTTCTAGTGAGTCAGTTCTTCACATCAGATGGCCAAAGTATTGAAGCTTCAACTCCAAGAGAGCATTAGAACATTTAGTCCTCATTTATTTTCGCATTTATCTACAAACCTATGTGATGCACTGGTCAGATTTGTAAACGTTACATGTATGTGTTTTATAGATATTTTATCTGAAAAGATAACTCACAGGTTATAAAGTTAATGATGATGTAGATTTCTATGTCTATTAGGTTCTTTGATTAAGGAAAATGTTCTTAAAATATGGTACTTTGTCCTGAAAATGTTAGCAGTTTTGAAACTTAATATCTGTAGTTTGTAACTAAGGCTGAGTGAGATAGGGTCACCTGACCCTTTAAGAGGAATTTTAAATTAAAGAAAAATTATTTTTATAAAGTTTATTTTTATATATACCAGGGGGATAGATTTATTTCATGTGTTAATCAGATGGCCGACATCTTAATAATGCAAGAATATACCTTGTGTTATCCTGTACATTTAAAGGGAGCAGGAAATGCCATACCTTGAGAAAACAGGTATAAAAAACCTATGTTTCCTTTCTCTTCTCCTTTAGTGCCACCATTTACTGTGGCATGGGACCCTATGTTTTATTATGGAACACCTACTTATAATAAAGTGGTTATAGTATATAGGCTCAATATGTTACTGTGGTACCTGGCTTTAATTCATTTTCGCACACCTGCTTGAACTAATGATTTTCTTCCATTTCTAATGTCTATACTTTTTTAGTTTTGTATTAGCCAAAATCATTTATCTTTGAAAAATATACATAATTATAAGAGTCTTTTGAATATAAGAGATTTGTTGTAGTCTTTGCTGTTTTTCATAGTTCTATTTCATTTTTACTATATTTATAAAATATGAACATTTGCCTCTTAAATTAGGAAATAACATTTTGTAAAATGATAGGTTATGTAGAAAAAGATGCCTTATGTTTATATAGTTATCTCACTCTTATAATTGAGATTTAAAATTATAACATTTATATAATTTATGTTATCTATTAGGAAATACTACACATAAAACATTTATATCCTTTATTGAAAACATGTTCCTATAAATACAAGCAAATATGCATTACAAATGAGTCAGTTATTTTATTTCACAGAATATATCATCCTAAACAATTTTTATTTTCCTTGGTAGACATTTGAACTGAATTTATTATTTATATAACCTTAAAAATGACTATTGTTAGAAAATAATATACATCTACATTATTTTTAGTCTCTTTTTTTCTAAGCAACTATCAGTTATACACATTTTTGAAACTTTATGTTATAGAGAAATTTGAACATACACAAAAATAAAATAGCATACTCCTAAGCACCCATCTCCATCAACTTTTATCCAACCCTGCTCCATCTACACCACTGGATGCTGTTCTCTTCCTTGTATAATGAAGAAAATCTAAAACACCATATTATTTAATCTGTAAATATATTTCAGTGTTTTAGAAATTTTTTCTAATATATATAGATAAAATACTGTATACTAAATTACCCCACATATGAAAAGTAAAAATGATGGAATTTTTTTTACAGTTTTTAGTGCTACTATTTACATTAACTGTTAAAATTATGATTGTAGCCAGTTGATGATAAAGAATTAGCAAATAATTCACTTTAGACTTTTCTTGTAATAGTTTCAAAGCCAGTGTTCTTTGGACTATTATTGTGCTGTGATCTGTTAGTAGCTATGCATCAAAGAAAAGGTTTTGTTGTCAGGAAATCTGGCAAATTCTTAATATTATGCTCTTGAAGAGCAGAAAGCAGTTTACCTTAGTAAAGTCTTGGATAGCAAAGAAGTCTTCCTTACTATAAGTCCTATAGTGAAGAAGCTTGTTTGACTTTGTTTAAACCCAGTATTTTCTCATAATTCTATAGTAGTTTCCACCTGCAATGAGGGAGACCTGGGTTCGATCCCTGGGTTGGGAAGATCCCCTGGAGAAGGAACGGCTACCCACTTCAGTATTCTGGCCTGGAGAGTTCCATGGACAGCATAGTCCATGGGTCGCAAAGAGTTGGACACAACTGAGCAACTTTTACTTTGACCATGTACCTTTTAATCCTCCATCCTGTAAATACTTCTGAATGTCTGGAAGTTAATGTTCTAGAAAACAAGTTTGGAAACATTGCTCTGCCTACAGCATCCCAAAGAACTAACCATAGGCCAACTGAAGATTCCTTAGCTCCAGAACAGAATCACTTGAATAAAAATGTCCTCCAAAGGAGCAGAATAGGTATTTTTTAAAACAAGATGCATAGATAATTTCCACTTTGGAAGTTACTGTATTATTCATTTGCAACAGTCATTTATTTTGATGACAATCTTTCTCCATAACTGAAATAAAGAGATTGTGCCCAGACGTTGTGCCTGTGCTTTAAATTGCTGCTAAATTTTCAGAAATTTGTTGTGCCAATTCAGGAAGCATTTAAAAAGATTTAAAAAGCATTTTCCAATTTCATGAATTCATTCTGTGGGCATAAAATCAATCTTAATGTGTTGTCAGTTTAAGCTATCTCTTTTCTTCACTTCAGCTTATGATAAAATTCCAAAATCTTTGTTTCTTTATTGATTCCAATTAGTAAAACTTTAATAGGTGTTACATCAAATATCTGGCTAATATGAGAATCTGTTCACTTTAATTAAGGAATAATGTAGATTTTTTTCCTCCTATTATTTTGGGTCTCATATATACTGCTGATAATAGTAATGCTAGTATTTTAACTGTTAGGTACCAAGGAGTGGCAGTTACTGTATTTGGACCTACTTGCACAAAGTCAATGAGAGGAGTGTAATTTTATGATATTTATGTGTTGCAATTAATATGATGGTCTACTGGCCATAGTTCAGTATATCATTGATCAAAATTTCCATGCCTAAAATGTAAGTGAGCTGGTAACATTTTTTAAAAAATCAGACATTGAAAGAAATTAATTTTCTTCACGTAATTCATGAGTATCTATATATTTGTCTTCAA